AAAAAAACGAGCCTCATTCGTATGAATAGATTGGCGATTCATTTTGTGTTCCATTGTTATGTTCAGTTTGTTTCAAAGGAGTGTTGCTACGAAGTGTTCCATCCACTTTTTATCATCAATTCTTTGACAACCATTTGAATAATGGTCTTTATTCGCACATTCGCATTTTTCATGAATTCATAAGTTTGCATTCGGTTCAAGCTGAAAATCCCCCCAAAAAAAGCGCTCCCCATGGATTTTATCGCTTCAACTGTTTGTTAATCCGCTTGTTCATCTCCATCGTTACTACACTATTGCTATTTTTGAATGCCGAATTCTCTCGGTTCCAGTGAAAGTAACCGCGGAAAGCTTTGACCAAGACTCAGAAGTGTCCATCGAGTCGTTTTCGTCCATTTCTGAGAGGCTCAACAGCACAGTGGTGAATGCAGACGAATGCTCAAAAGAAAGATCACTTGAGCACATTCAATTGGATGTGCCCACAACAACGCTCAACAACAACGGCCAAATTGTTCACTCTGGTAATTCAATTATTCATTCAGATGCCCAATAATGTTCAAGTGAAATTTTTTTCGTTTTTTTCAAAATTGTTGGCCGTTGTTCATTGCTGATGAAGCAATCGTAATGGCCACTCATCACTCAGTTGTTCTCTTGTATGAACGACCCATTTTATGCTAGAACTTGGTTAGTTCATAATCGCCCTGTCAGTCAGATGCTTTGCTAAATCCGACCAGCTGGGCACTTTGCAATGTCGTAGAAACAATGCTGCTCCAGGTTTTTCATCGTGAATATATTGTTTCCACATGTATCTAGTAATCTTCTCAGGCTTTTAACGCTTTATGAAATCGAAAAGCGCAAGCGTTCGGAAAATACTCTCCAATCTCGATGAAATAAGTTTGAAAACAACGCAGCCCTTATTACCTTGTTCGGATATCATGCGTCGAGCAGCAGCATTATGGGTGGCACTTGCACGCACTAAGCTGCTAAAAGTGTTCTCTTTCAGAACGAACTAAAAAGCTGTTAAAATTACACATGTCAGCAACAATAAGTAAGTTCAGATAATGAATGATGTGTGGATGCAATATCCTTCCTATTCTAACTGTCCTATCCCTTTCGACCATTCCGATTGATTGATTGCTGTTTAAAAAAGTGTAACATTCGTGCGTTCATTTACGCATGCTTTCGCACCTTTCGTCTATCGCTAACCACATTGATAACACAATACTCCACGCAAGTTTTTATCGCCATCAACCAATCGCACTTTAAAATGATTAATTTCTGATCGTGATACTAATCCAGCACTAATTTAATGCACCAAGTGTTCATTGAAGACTTCATGTGATCAATTGAGAACGATGACTATGGGTGATTGTACAGATTAAGATCACNTCGAATTGGAACCGAGAAGAACGATAAATTTCAGATGAGGACAAAGTGATGGATTGTGAGCATGCGATAAGGTGTCACAGCTTCGCTGGACCGCCACCTATTATCCTTGAAACGAAAGTGAAGAAATCTCCGTAAGTTTCAGAAGCTTCCTTAACTTGAATACAACGTTAATGAGCTAATCAACCAAACTTTGCGCCACAAATTTCCCATGTTATTGAAGATGCCAGCATGCGATACAGCATTCATTTGATGTTAATCATACCATACACGTTTTATCCACAAAGTATTTTCAGATCGGTATTTAGGGCTCATAGTATTGGACATGATTCGAAGAAGGCGAACGACTCTGGCGATTTCCTGTCGCCTGACGCGGCTAGTAGTCTTTCGACTAGACGCTCGTTATCAACGCAACAACTCAATGAAAGCAACCAGAAACGTCGGCAACAAAAACGTGAAACAAATTGTATGATTTGATGGTTCTAGACACGAAAACCTCAGCTAGTTCGGTCACGCTCTGATACGAGTCAAACGAATTCATTTTCCAATTCTCGTGGGAATTCACACTGTGTGCAATTGATTTCCAGTTATTTTTCTCGTTCCAATACCACAAACAGTTTTGTTTAGCCAATCCAGATGTGTGGCATTTGTGAATTGGAGTCAGAAAAAACTCAAGTGTGAACACCATATTCCATATGTTTCATGCTTTTCAAATGGAACATTTTTGCCGAGATTAAATCACTTCACTTGGAGCACAAACTCGGAACAGCTTTTCGCGATTTTCTTGGCACATTTCAACCCAACCAACGCTATAGATGCAACACAAAACATTCACTTCACTGTTTCCTTTCATATCTCCGAGCAAAATTACTTCACAATATTAAAATATCCTTTTTTGGAACAAAACTGTTTACCTTTTCAAATTCTAAACTGTTTACTCGCAGACGCCTATTTCCCCCACATTCTAAAATCTTACAGTTTTCTCGTCACTCTCGGTGCCGTCCACGTCCAGCACGCACCACAGCTCATCGGCACGTTCACCACGTAATTCCACCTCACACTCTTCATCATCTCCCACGAAAAACGCCAAAGGTTGGTGACCATATCCGTTTTCTGTAGCAAGTCCTCTCACTGTGAATGGCTTCGCCTAGTTATCCTCGATGATCTGTCTGTCCACTTATCTCACATGATTCATTCGTATCCAAGCGCTTATCATCCGCAACCAAACTTGTCAACATTCGTCTCACTGACACGCTTTCACGCTCGATTAATATTGATAAAATATGCCTGTGTGACAGCTCGATTACATCTCTGATTGAGAATGCACTCGAGCATTCATTCCACTT